ACTCCTAATATTCTGTGATTCTGTGATCTATTTGCAAGAATAATTACTGTAGCTGTGAATAAATGAGTTAAATTCCTTAAAAGGCCTTGTTATATAAAAATAATACAAAATTTGTCATTTACATGGTAAGAGAAAAATATATGTTTAAGTCAATTGTATGAAAAGCAATGCGTTTGCCTTTTCAGATAAACTTTTTCAATTGTCTTTTTATGTCTTAACACAGAAATATGCTTCCTAGACTGACTTCATGGCAGCCCATGGAACTACTTAAAGTACATTATCATGTACAAATGGATCCTGAATAACTATTTATATGTTAAACTGTTCCTGAGGCTGTCTAGCTAGTAATAAAAACTTTTCTGCTCTTTCACAAAATGCGTTTAATTCCTGAGCAAATAAGGAAATAAAATAATATCTTTGCTTAATACGCATGGTTAGACGATAGAAAGCAAATCACCTCTGAAGCATGACTTCCATCCTTGTTTTAGCCATCATACTCCAATACTATCTGCAGGATACATACATATCAAAATAGATTAATACAATACCATCAAGTGAGGAACAGAATACCATTCCAGTGTTTAACCTGATTTGTCAAGGATATCTCAAGGTATATAATTTCAGAGTTAATACCAGACATGTATGACAAATTCTGCTCTTTTGTGACAAGTTCAGATAATCAAATGTGTAGCCATTTTAGGTTTAGAATACTTAGCAGTATTTATTCTGTGTGTCCCTCCAGAATTTTATTTCCTGCAAGATTTTTGCCATGAGGCAAATATATGTAAACATCTATATTAAAATCTTCGTAGACAAAGCTTGATGGAGATCAGATGCAATCTATTTTAAACATGAAGTTTATGAGATTACGCTTTGTTGCTATGTTTATTTTTTGTTGCTTTTTCCCCCCTGCTTTTCCATTTTTCCTATTTCATTACAGTTGTCATATATGTAAAGCATTTACTACTAGATGCGTAGCTGTGTAATACTGTGTTCCCCTCAGAAAGTTATTGCCAGGTAACATTGTTCAGTCTGTTTTACAGCTAGGAAATGGCTTTTGAGTAGAAGGCCTAACACATTAAACTGCCTCTTTCTCTCTGCCAAGAGCCATCCCAATGCTAGCAAGCACCCAACACCCCAAACTAACTCTTGTGTATTTTAGGACTTACCCTCTAAGCTTTGGGGGCAGTGCTGATGCAAGCCTCCTACCTGTCCTATCAAGCCCTATCTTGACTGCGGGGTGCAGTTTCAAGAAGTCACGCGATATTTAGGTGGTGTTTGATGCCACAACAAACAACACTGCTGGCCCACACAGCATTCCCTCGACACAGCATTACTGCAACAATGAAGCCCTCCGCGGCCCTTCCTTGGATCCCTCCGCCCCTGCCCGAGCTCCATCACAGTCAGTGAAGTGGGCAGGAACAAGCGAAAAAGACATACAAAACTACCAATTGCGAGGTGCATACGGCCCGCCGTGATCTGTAGACCTAATGAGGGCCCATGAGGGCGTGGCCGCGGGAGTAAGCGCGGTGAGAGGGGTGTCACGGACTGACGGCCGCCATGGCTGACGAGATCAGCATGGCTCAAGCCGCCCGTCCCGGCGGCGACACCATCTTCGGGAAGATCATCCGCAAGGAGATTCCCGCCAACATCATCTATGAGGACGAGCAGGTCAGGGCGGTGCGCGGCCGCCCGGGTATGGTGGTACCTTTGAGGTTCTCGGGAGCGCGGCGAGACGGACGGGGCCTCTCCGCACCCTCTTGCAGCATCTCGAAAGTATCGGGCTCCTTTCGGTGTTGGTCCCGGCGGGTGCTTGGGCGGATGCAGGACTACAGGCGCTTTCCGGCCCGCCCCAGCCCCGGCCGCGGCCCAACCCGCGCTGTGTCACTGGCCTGCGTGTTGTGGAGCGCCGCTGGCATTCACCGTGTCGCAGCTTTCTGGCATCGCTGTGCCGTACAGGCTTTACTGCCGCGGGACGGTGGCTCTCACAGCCGGTGTAGTCGTGAAGCCTTAGATTTAACCATCCGCAGGCGGTCTGCTTGAAGTTTCTAGGCGTAATGAGATGCTTTGGCCCCTCAGGGGTGTGGGTCTTGGTGTGCGTCTCAATAAGCATTAGATGATAGAGCTGTGCCCGCCAGGTTTTGTTTATGCCCCTCTGAGAGGAGTTATTAAAGCGTTATAGAGAATCCTAGATTTTTCTCATCACTGAAGTCTGGAACCCGTCATCCTGCAGGCTGCAAAAACCGGTTTCTGTGATGAAGTGGGACTGGTAGCTTTCAGTGATGCTGGTGTGCTACTGTGTTGGGAGCTAAGTGAAATGGTTAGCTTATGAAGAAATGCAGCTGTTATCTCCAAGATGTAAACTAACTTAGTATCCAGTATAAGATCCCTTCCCCTCATTTTAAAAGTTGACATACTGAACATTAACAGAGGCTTTTGAAATACGGGATTATCTGCTGTGTAGAATACACATGCACTAAAGATGCTGTTTGCCTGATTTGTGTGCTTAAAAATTAAGCATAGCTTGGAACAATGTTTTCTTAATAGAGAAATGTTGCAGCTGCCATCAACCCCCAAGAAAATTGAGTCAATCTGCTTTCTGAAAACCATGCTTATGTTACTGCTCTGTGTTTATGTGAAGTTATACATCCTTTAACTGGGGCAAAGCTGCCTGTGGTTTTTCCTCAGCTGTAATGGCTACAGCAGTGTAACCGGAGCACTGTGCTTGCTTGAGAGTCAGGCCTTTGAGTGACTTGAGAGCATGTAATCTACTCTGACTGCCATTAGTGCAGACTATTTTCTAGAAGAGTAATTACCTGTGATAGTTGATTTTTTTTACCTTAAAATACACAGAAATATAGAATTGTTTTTAGAATTTAATTGACTACAGTGTGTGATCTTTAATTCATTTTGTTGACTCTCAGGGTCTTTTTAGAGGTGGCTGGAAATTTTACAGGAAGAAATGTGAGGAAGGCTTTTAATCATTAATTAACACACAGAGAGAAGGAGATACTAAAGGTGCAAAGTCTCTGTGGAATTAAGCCTTACAGGTCTTGTTTTAGCTGAATCTGAACTTGCTGAAATGAAGCTTGGTTTACTATGCCTTCATGGACTTTCTTGGTTTACTATGCGTTCATGGACTTTCTGTGATTGTGCTTTTGTTCAATACTACTTCTGCTCTCTGTCCCATAGAAAATAGCTACTGGTCTTCTGCTCATTAAATTCTTTGACTCAGTTTGGCTGTTTGCATTCTGCCTCTATGAAGACCAAATAGAATAGAAAAACTGCTTGCTAAATTATTAAAGTAAGATTTATTTGATTAGGTGCAAATTAATGTTATTATTAGTTTTATTCATCCATTCTTGGTTAGCAATGGCACAGTGCATGCTCAGTGTTTATCAGATTCTGGTGACTGCAGTAACAAGTCCTGGTTTTGTGGTTGGCCATTTGCACAAAGCGGTATACCTTCCTTTTCTCTTTCTTTCCTTCCTCTTCTGTTCATTTATTCTGTTTATTTATTGAAACTTCCTAATTTGAGGTTCATGTGATGTAGCTGCATGCAGTTTCTGATTGCTAGTATTGGTACTTGCAGAAAATTACTTGGGAGCCAACTGCTTGCTACAGATAGTTGTTCATATTTCAAAAGTGATGTCTTTCTCTCAGTTTGCGAATGTCTGAAGTAGAATCAGCTGTAATACATTATTTTGAAATAATCTTTTTTTCTGAAGTACTTGGTGTTATTGAGAACAGAAATGTAAGATGGCTTCATAACATAACATCAGGTTATCTGAAACTGCCTTGCTATCTTTGACAAAGGCAATGTTCAGATATAATTGGAAGATGATTAGCAACTGTTTGCCATTTGTTCTATTAAACAGAGTGTTAATTTAAAAGTTAAATAAGCATAGATGTACTTTTTATAGGCATGCGTGCCATTAGCTCTGTTAGTTGTTATGCATATATGGAAATAATAAATCATGAACCTAATTGCATATTAGCTTGCTGAAGGACTACAGATTTTAAATAATACTTAACATAGAATAATAATAATTTTTTTCATACCAGTTGGTCTTGGTGTTTTCTGTTTAAAAGTCAAAGGACTTTGAATAATATATCACTTACGAAAAATCAACACATCTGCTTATGTTTGGGGCTGCTAATCTGCTTAAGTATGTATTTAGCAGAGCAATATTGATTTACTTAAACTCTTGCTTTTCTCTGAAGCAAATTGTGTTTTAACTGTTTGCTCTTCCTCCAGTGTCTTGCGTTCCATGATATTTCACCCCAAGCTCCAACACATTTCCTAGTGATTCCTAAGAAGCCAATTGTCAGGTTATCTGAAGCAGAAGATTCTGATGAATCTGTAAGTACTTTAGAAGCTTTCTGTACACCAAACTGTACTTCCAAGCAATTAATAAACTAGACTCTCCCTCTTTTCCTCTTGACCTTTCAAAGAGGCAAAGTAGTTTTTCTATACTATAATCCTTTTCCTCTAGCTTAGAATGGGAATGGAGTTCAGGTTTTCCAGTAAAAGTAGTGATATAAAGCAAAAATTTATTTGTGGGTATGTATTTGCAGTGTAAAATGCATTATTTTGGAGTACAGTCTTGACACCTGTTTTCATGGTTTACAGGCTGTATTACTTATTTTAATTGGGATTGGGGTTTTTGGCAGGTCAGAGATTAAGAAAGGGAAAGCTAGCCGAGAGGTGGTGAATATTTCATTTTTAGCTATAAATATCAAGTTGAAAGATGTTGTAAACCTCTACATGATAAAAGTTTTTTTTCCACCAGGATTACATAGGTTGCCTGGAGAAGTAATGGGGCTTTTAGCCATGAGGACTTTAACTTCTGTGACACTTTTGTTGTCTCTTACTGTCTAGCTTGAAAAAAATGTATAGTTATCCCTGCCTCCCCCCATATTATGCATAGTCAATTTTTGTAACTTTTCTTGGAAAGTCAGTTGCAGGCAAGCAACAATTTGAAGTGCAGTGTCTGAATTTCTACGAATTAGCTTACTGGCTTATCTGGATGATTCTCTGCTCTCATTCATTTCCTTCCTGCCCTCCCCTTTTTTTGTGTGTTTTGTTTGTTTTTGTTGTTGTTTTTTCTTTTTTTTTTTCCTACTCCAGCTTCTTGGGCATTTAATGATTGTTGGCAAGAAGTGCGCTGCAAACCTGGGCCTCACCAATGGATTTCGGATGGTTGTGAATGAAGGGCCTGAGGGAGGGCAGTCTGTCTATCATGTGCATCTTCATGTTCTCGGTGGTCGTCAGTTGGGCTGGCCTCCAGGCTAAGATTTTTACACCACAAGAGTTAATTGCATGCATATGAATTACCACCAAATAGATTTAATTTGTTACCTAGACACTTTGTTATCTAGACACTGTTAATGTATCTCTTTTTTTTTTCTGGAATGTGTGTCTATGAAAGGTAATAAATGCTCTGAACGATGTTCGCACAATAAAGGCGTAGCATGTGGGAATCGTCTCTGTCTGGTGTGCCTTACTGATGAAAACAATTCTGCAAGTTAAAATGATGTTCTCTGGAGTTTAAGTATGTAGTGTTTTTCAGTCTGCTGTTAACAGTCTTCTGCTGATACTGATTTGACGAGGCATTTGAAACCTGAAGGTGCAACTGCTTAGCAGTCTTTCATGTCTTTTGAGAAGAAAACTTCTAAGCTGTTTGAATGTAGTACAAATACAGAGGTTCAGGATCCCTGAGCAGACTGTGTATCACAAAAATGCGGTATTGCTGGCTGATACAGTGGGGCTACCATAAAGATTTCCGGCTGGGAAACTTCCTTTCAGAATGAGTCCATGAAAGGCACTTAAGGATATTGAGGTTAACTGTCAGCACCCAAATGTGGGCAAGGGCATATGATGTGATGTATGTACTACTTCTCTAATTTCTATTCCTCTATGTGTATGCTTTATACTGACATTGGCATTTAATTGTGAATTAAAGCATGACTGGTGAAGTTGATGACATCACTG